AGGTGAGGGGCGCGCCGGGCGGGCTCTCCGGGACCCCCGCGCCTGCAGGGCCCCTAGACGCCCGGAACAGCCTAGAAGGCGGGGCGCCGGAGTGTGGCCTTGGGAGGAGAGGGCTGTCGTCTAGGATGCGGGGCTCAGGCCTGCTCCGACCCCGGTACCCTCAAAACTCAACGGGGAGGTTTGGTACCGGCGAGGACGGAGCAAACCCGGCCCCCGAAGTCCCTGCTAAGTCTTCCCAAGTAAGCGCTCCCCACCCCCAAATCCCCGGAAGGCTCCAAGGATCGCCTTAGGATGGTGGAAGCTGCCGCGCGGGCGGACCGAAAACGATGTCACACGGCAGGAGGAAAAAGCCTGTCTCCAGGAGGAAAGTGCCGGGGGTTACCTAGTGCCCATAGACTCCGGGGTGCGCTGGGAGGTCCGCTTCTCCACGAAGCCCCAGGTTCCACGGCGACGAAGGTCAGAGGTGGCCGAACTAACTCTGATGGGACCGGGGGTGAAACCCAGGACTCCTGAAATCCACCGAGAACTGCTGATGTTGGGCGCTTTTCTTTCAACAGCACCCACTAAACGCATCTTGCCTTCCCCCTACAATTAGACTCCCTTTGACCCTTGGTTGTGCGGCGAGGGTGGGGACGTAAGAGGCTCTTGGAGCTGATGGTTCCGCAGGAGGATGGGCACAGGGCAGAGGGTCAGACATAGTTTGGGAAGTGGCTTCCAGGTGTCCCAGCTCTGCTCCTTGTGTACAAAGGCCAACATATAAAATATGTAAATATGTAAAATATCAAAGAGGTCTGCTTGGGTTCGTGTGTGTACCTGCCCCAAGCTCTCAGAGCCCTCGAAAGAGAACTGTGTGTAACCCTCACTTCTGGAGGGTCTCCATTTCAAAGGAGGTGACTGAGGCCCGTCTGCACCAGGCCTCGCTCAAGACTGCTCAGCCGCTAAGTGAGGATCTGGGTGGAGTGGATGCCTTCCAGGACCAGCCTAATCTTTGTGTCTGGTGGTGAAATGAGAAAGCCAGAGTCCAGGCACAGGTGGTGAGCAGACTGTGGGGATGTTAAAGGACATTAGGTTCTGGTACCGGAGCATATATGACACCTGAATAAGCCTGTCTGCCCAGAGCTGCCCTCTCCTGGGGTGTGGAAGGACAGCCCCTCTTCAGTCCCTTTCAGAAATTGGTCTTTTGGGTTTTATTCAGCATGTGTTCCCTGGGAGGGCTAGCCATAGAATGCCCACTCTCAACCTGGTCCCTGGTGTCAGGTGAGGGAGGTCACCCACCCCTCTACCTTCCCTGAGTGGAGGGTGTGTTCATGCAGCTTTGAGTCACTTCAGGACCCTCTCATCCAGAACGGCCACTTTGGAAACACAGCTGTGGAAAACTATCTTCAGCATAACCAGCGACCACTCAAACGCTGCGTGTTTTATTTGTAATCTCTATACAGCAATTTTGGGGCTATGACTATCCTTGCTTTGATCAGAGTCCATGTGGTTCCAGCTGTATGTCTTCCGAGGCATGGAAAGCCACAGCTTTGGCATAAATGTAACTTCCTCGTTTTTCAGTAGATTCCTAAAAGCCCTTTGTCTGTATTAGTGGAGAAAAATCCTCCTGGGATCAGGCTGGTTGTCCTTGTCAGAGAAAACGATTTACTTCAGTAAACCAGATTGTGTGTGTGTGTGTTGGAGGGTAAAAGTAAAATTACTTAGGAGTTGCTGGACAGTTAGGATTTGTTCTTGGGGACCTTTTTCTATGCTACCATTCCTGAATCTGGGCAGGTTTAGTTAAGATTCTCTGTGCTCACTCTCTCAGCTTGATGCTTAGTAAAATCAGATGGTGGGTTTGGCAGTTCTTCAAAAAAGTTAGATCTAGAGTTACCTTAGGACCCAGCAATGCCACTGCTAGGTGTATACTCAAGAGAATTTTTTGTTCACACAAAAAGTTGTGCACAGATGTTCACAGAAGCATTATTCATATTAGCCAAAAAGTGGAAGCAACCCAAATGCCCATCAGCTGACAAATGGATAAACAAAATGTGGTCTCTCCATACAATGGAATATTACTCAGTCATAAAAGGAAATGAAGTACTGATACAAGTTACAGCTTGGATGAATCTTGAAAATATTGTGCTCAGTGAAAGAAGCCAGACACAAAAGTTATGGAATAGGCAGATGTATAGATATAGAAGGAAAATAGTGATTACTAGGGGCTGGAGGGAGGAGGGAATGGGGAGTGAATGCTGAAGGATATGGGTTTTTTTCTGAGGGGTGATGAAAGTATTCTGATACTAGATCATGGTGATGGTTGCACAACTTTATGAATGCTCTAGGAACCAGTGGATTGTACACTCTAAAATAGTGAATTTTATTTATTTATTGTCTCAATTATTGTTCCTTATTGTAAAGTTGGTTCCCCACCTCAGGATATTAAATATAGTTCCCTGTGCTATACAGTAAGACCTTGTTTATTTTATATATAATAGCTTCTGTCTGCTAATCCTTAACTCCTGATTTATCCCTCCCCCACCACTTTCTCCCCTGGTAACCATAAGTTTGTTTTCTATGTTTGTGAGTCTGTTTCTGTTTTGTAAATAAGTTCATTTGTGTCATATTTTAGATTCAACATATAAGTGATATCTTATGGTATTTGTCTTTTTCTTCCTAGTTTATTTCACTTAGTATGGATCTCTAGGTCCATACATGTTACTGCTAATGGCATTGTTTCATTTTTTATGGCTGAGTAATATTCCTGTGTGTGTGTTTGTGTGTGTGTGTGTGTGTGTATGACATATCTTCTTTATCCAGTAGTCTGTTGATGGACCTAAATGGTTGCTTCCATGTCTTGGCTGTTGTAAATAGTGCTGCTATGAACATTAGGGTGCATGTATCTTTTTGAATTAGAGTTTTCTCTGGATATATGCCTAGGAGTGGGATTGCTGGATCATATGGTAACTCCATTTTTAGTTCTTTAAGGAACCTTCATACTGTTTTCCATAGTGGCTGCACCAAAAATATAGTGAATTTTATAATGTGTGAGTAGTATCTCAATTAGAAAAATTAGATGGTAAGAGGCCTGCGTTTTAAAAAAAAGACTTAATTATTTCTGTAAAAATGACACACTTATTTAAAATTATTCTAACAATACAAGAAAAAAAAAGCTCAAAGAAGACAATGAAAACACCCAGCTGGAGACCACTGTTAGCATTTTGGTTTAGAGCGCAGATCTGGGCAGACTGTTGAGGACTGAACTTGGGCAAGTTACTGAACTTCTCTCCAAAGTGGGGAAAACCCACCTACTCAATGCAAAGATGTTGGTAAAAGTGCGGTGGGTGCTAGCTGTTGTCGTCATTACATGTGTGTGTGTGTTTGTAGCTAGATGCTTGTGTCTGATGGCCCACAATGGGATCAGGCTCTACGTGCTGTTCTATTACCATGGACAAACTCTTTTTTAAAGACTTTATATTTTTAGATCAGTTTTAGTTTTGTAGCAAAACTGAGTGGGAGGCACAGAGATTTCCTATGTGCACCCTGCCCCTGCACATGCATAGCCTCTCCCATTATCCACATCACTCATCAGAGTGGTACCTTTGTTACAGTGGATGAACCTACATTGACATCATCACCCAAAGACCATAGTTTACATTATGGTTCACGCTTTGTCTTGTGTAGTCTATGGATGAGAACAAATCATGGATAAATCTTTCACATAAAAATTCATCCACTGTAAAACTGAATGTCTCCAGAATATTCCATTTTATGGGTGTGTAACAGTGTGCCCTGTAGTCTTCCTTTGGTGGAGGTTTCCACTGATTGATGGAGTCTCCCACTGATTGAGGCTGTTTGCCCAGCACTATTGCTATGCAGAACATATAATTCAACATCATCAATTGCATTCAGGCATCTTGAGCCCTACAGAGTGTGTAGCTGGGAGTGTAGGTCCATGGCTTAAGCCAACAGTTGGGTGTCTTGTGAAGTAGGTCATGGCCAAGCAGAGGGGAGTCTAGTTGCTCTCAGGGGCCGGGTGAGGACTGGTGCTGGAAGAGCCAAGGGAGAGCCTGGTGTCAAGAGTGTTGGGGGAAGGAGGCTGCCGAGGAGAAGGGGTGGAGTGGGCTGGAGAGCCGCCAGCCCCGCGTTCCCCAAGTGGGTGTGTGAGAGGTCAGTGGAGGAGACAGAAGAGCAGACCAGGAGAGACCTCAGGCAGCTTGCAGTGTGAAAGCACCTCCCCTCCTGGGACTGGGTGTGCCCTCAGGCCCCAGACTCTCCACTTGGAACTCAATTTGCTGAGGAGTGTGCTAGCTGGGTGAGGCCAGAGTTTGCCCTTTGGGGGAAGCTAGTTTATCATCCTAGAGCGGGTGAGGGAGCAGAGGTTTCACTCCTTTGGCCAACCCGCTGCCCTTCAGGCCTGTGCGGGGCTCGATGGGCATCCTCCCTGTGAGGGGTGCAGGATGGCACGTAGGCATGAGTGCTGCCCCAGCACGACAAGCCCTCTGTGTGTGCCAGCCCCTTCGCCTGCCCTCCCCAGCTTGCTCCCTGGGCCCCTCCAACCCCTCCCTTCCTGCCGCTGGACTTCCTGGCCTAAGCTATTCCCTCTGTGGAGAAGACTCCTGACCCCAGCTGTTTTTCAGGGCTCCTCGAGCTTCCCTGAGTGGTCCACGGTGGACCCTCCTCGCCCTAACAAGCTGGATAGCCTCTCTCGGGCCTGTGTCCCCAGCTTGGAAGCAGAGCTCTCTGGGTGTTTCCCTGACCTCCTTGCTGGCTGCTGGCCCCCAGGGCAGGCTGGCACAGAGGGGGCCATGCTGAAGGGGCAGGTAAAATAAACCCCCTCCCTAGCCTGCCCGACTGCCTGCCACATTCCCAGGCCCTGCTCGGCTCCTGGTGTCCCCTCCTCACCTCTGCTGGTCCCCAGGGCCCTCTTGGGTCCTGGCCTAGTTGGCAGATTCAGGCTGATGAACGTTCGGGGGATCAGCTCTGGACAGCCTTTCCCAGGGCCTGCGGCAGTGAGTGCAGCACTACCTGCTGGGGGGCTTATTTTGGTCCCAGCCCTGTCGCGTCCTCCTTTGTAAAGTGAGTAGAATGCACAAACCTGAGTGCACTGGGGACCAGTTAGCCAATGAGAAACAAAATTCAGTCTCTAACCTCCTGTGCCAGATCTCCCCTCCCTCACCCAGGTTCCCTTCCCCAGGGGAGACATTAGTCAGTGGGCGTTTGAATACCAGTGAGAACAGTGCCTGGAGGTCCAACCAGAAGCTGCCCGCAGAAGTGTGGGAAGATCTGGGGACCATCTTGAGGGCTGCCACGTCTTAGAAATCTCCTGTGCAAGGACATTACGAGGTGTTCTCTCCCATTACAAGGGGTAAATGGAGGCCCAGAGATGGGAGGGGTTGTGCCCATTGGATGCCTTGGGAAGGGGAACTGGATGGTTGTGGGGAATGAGGTGGAATTAGGATACCCCTTGTTCCTTTGGAATTTAATTCAAATTGTATAAAAATTGGAATTTCATTAGTAGATGATTACATACTTTAAAAAGATGGAGTCTTGGCATTCAAGGCTTTTCTTGCCGTGGCCCACCTCAGCCCTCCCAGCCCTTGAACCCCCCTGAATCTGATGTGGTCTCTCTTCCTGTCCCCGCAGTGCCTGGTCCAACATGGGGTCCCAGGTCTCGATGGACAAGGGAGCTGTGCACGTGGTGATCGTGGGCGGGGGCTTTGGCGGGATTGCGGCCGCCAGCCAGCTGCAGGCGCTGAACATCCCCTTCCTGCTTGTGGACATGAAGGACTCCTTCCACCACAATGTAGCAGCCCTCCGGGCCTCCGTGGAGAGTGGTAATGAGCTCCTTTCTGGGGCTTTCTTTGTGAGAGTGGTTTTGTCACCACTGTGGGTCAGAGGTGGTTTTCTCCATTTAGGGTCACTGGTCTTAAACAGCTACCATATCAAGGCCCCAGAACTCAGAGTATGACCTTCCCTGAAGACCTGGGGCCCAGATTGGCGCTTCAGGGGTTAGCGGGTACCCAGGGGTGTACCACTGCCCAGCTGTTTGTCCAAGGGCACCCCTATTGGTATGCAGCTCAAGAAAGTTATTCTGGCTTCCTGTGGGCAGCCTAGGTTTACACTGTGACTTCCTCTGTGTCTATTCCCCAGGATTTGCCAAAAAGACATTCATTTCCTACTCGGTGACCTTCAAGGAAAACTTCCGGCAGGGCTTGGTGGTCGGGATAGACCTGAAGAATCAGACTGTGCTGCTGGAGGATGGCGAGGTGAACCCAGAGGGGGGTGACCATCCTCAGCTGGCATCAGGAGGCCCCTGGGACATGGATGCTGGTGGGAGGACACGGGCTGGTCTCCTTAGGGGTGAGGGTCCCCCATACCTGCCCTGTGCCTGAGCAAAGGCTGGACCCCAGCAGCCACAGGAGAGTAGTGCAGACATTTGTGGAGTCTTTCTTGTATGCCAGGCACTGTCTTAAGACTTACATGATCTCCTTCAATGCCCACTGTGAGCCCGTGAGGGAGGTGGAATAGCCTCAGTGTACCCAGAGGTAAAGAGGCTTGCCCAAGACCCCACAGCTGGAGAGACTTAGCTGGGGTTTGAACCCAGACAGTTTCACCCAGAGCCCACTCTCTGAAAGCCAGGGTCCCAGGGGGCCACCTTGCTGTCTAGAATCAAAGGGTAGGTTCCACGATCCCACATCCCCTGGACTGGGAAGTCATGGGGACAGAGGTTTTCTTCCCGCAACTCTGTGTTCCTGAACCCCAGGATAAGCTTGGTGCCCGGTGTGTTCCTGTGGGACCAGAGCCCCATCAGTGAGCTGCCTCCAGCCCACTCGTCGTGCTGAGGGTCACCTCCAGCCTGGCCCTCTACTCTGTTCAAAGTTAAGGGGGGACTGGACAAAGGGGCCCCAATTCCTATTCTCAGTGAGGATGCGGATTAGTGTGAATCAATCCTCTTTGAATTAATGTTAGGGCTGTGAAATCTCCAGATGGAAAGATTACTGAGAACTTCCTTGTCCTGTGATTTTGGGTCAATGAGGGCGTCTCAGGCCTCCACAGGGGAAGCAGGGGCTGAGCGGGATACAGACCTTCCCGTCCACCACCTCCCATCAGAGCAGCTCTAATTTGGTCAATTTATATATTTAGGCTCCAAACAGGGTTTGCCTCCCTTCTTCCTTCCCCCCACCTTTTTTTTTTTTTGAGGGAACAGGGGGAGTTTCGTCTAAAATAATGGTAATAATAGGGAGATTCTAAACTAACTCCACATTGGGAGCTAGAAACCTGCTTAGTCCCCACAGATCGTTTCCTGCTCCCTGCTTCCTTGGGTATTTCCTGGGTTCTAATGCCACTTCTTGGCCTAACCAGTTGATAGGTTTGCTCCCCTCCAAGGAGTCCTCCCCCTCTTGGTGCTCCCTGCGCGGTGGTACCTGGGTTGGATGCAGAGGCCCAGGCCTGCCCTCACCTTTCTTTTCCTGGCCCCTTGCAGGCCCTGCGCTTCTCACATCTCATCCTGGCCACGGGCAGCACCGGGCTCTTCCCGGGCAAGTTTAACCAGGTTTCCAGCCAGCAGGTCGCCATCCAGGCCTATGAGGACATGGTGACACAGGTGAGCTGCCTGCTGACTGAGGATGAGGCAGTGAGGGCAGACCAGGCTGGCCCCCGGGAGAGTGGAACAGCTGTCGGGGTGCCGTGTCTGGGGCTGCAGCAGCCCTGTAAAGGTGGGGAGTTTCCAGGAAGAGGCTCTGGGGTAAGACCTTTGGACCTGTCCTGAAGTCTGGAATGAGCACTGAGACCTGCTCACACAGTGATTGGTGTGTCCCCCCACTTGTCCCCTGGGGCCCCCGTTTGCATGGTGCTTTGGTTTTGTAGAGCAGGCTTGGGTCCGTGTCTCAGCCAGTTCTCATGGGGGTCTGCAGAGGGGATCTGGAGACCCGAAGAAGGGTCCCCAGGGGCTGCAGCTGCGTGCTTGGGGCCAGGTCTGAGGAGCCTCTTGTGCAGTCTTGAGCAGACATTAGAGTGGAGGTTAGGAACTCAGCCTTGAACTCAGACCTGGGCCAGGGACATCTGCAAGTGGGCAGGTGGTGGTACCTGCCTCTTGGGGCTGTTGTGAGAATCAAGTGAGAAATGCAGGGAAACACCCAGCAAGAGCCTGGTCCCGAGGAAGCACATTTGGACTCTGAACTTGGAAAAGGTTCTCTGTGCTTCTCTGACCGAGGAACCCACTCCCAAGGCTGAACCCCGAAGCGGGGTGAATTTGAGGGTGCACTTTCCATTTCCTCCTCCAGGTCCAGCGCTCACAGTCCATTGTGGTGGTAGGAGGAGGCTCTGCAGGAGTGGAGATGGCAGCAGAGATTAAAACAGAATACCCTGAGAAAGAGGTGAGAAAGAAGTGGGCAAGCGGCCTTGGCGCCGAACTCCCAGAAGCCGGCTTCTTTTTGTCTGACGAATGCCAGAATTTTCTCAGGGCCTGGGAGGCAGCGCTGTGTCAACATAAAGTGGAAGTGTATGTATCCCGTCTCCTGCTCTCTGCACTGGGGGATCCCCAAAAGTCCCATTCTGCCGGGAAATCTTCCTGGAGAGCCAGGGTGTGTCTTAGTTCAGTGAGGGGTCCTGTCCTCTGGTCCAACCCGGAGGAGCACACCCAGGGTGAATACCTTGTGAAAAGTTGACCTCTGTGTCCCCTGCAGTGTTCTGGCCTTTGCAATAGAAACATAGAATTTGATTACCTCTTTTTGCTGACAACCAGCTTGGTCAAAGATACTCTCATTGGTGTTTTGTCTGGGGCAAGCAGCAGCCTTTTGGTCTTTGAGACAGTTGCCCTTGCCCTAGACAGTACACAGGGGGACGTCACAGTGCACCCCTCACAGCCCATGCTGAGGAAGGACTGTCAGCACTGCCTATGGCCTACAGGAGGGTGTCCCTGCTCCCTTTTAGTGATGGAGGGTTAGAGAACCTGCTGGCACCCTGCAGAGAAAGGGACATCGGGGCAGGCGGTAAAGGCCCCGCTGAGGGCTGAGGGCTAAGTGATGATCAGCAGTTGTTGGTCCTTGAGGCAAGAGCTTGCCTGCAGCTGATGCCAGATCAGCTTGTGGGAGCCACAAGGAGCTGCTGGCTGGTTCTTTTTCTCTAGGGAGAGGCAGATTGGTTTGAAAAGTAAGATCAATATGGGCTAATTCAATTATATGGCTGTCTCTGACCAATTATTGGACATTATTATGAGTGGTTGATGTAGAAGTTTATTAATTTTGATTTATGGGGTAAAGACCAGCCTGAAGTAGCAAATAACTCAGTATAACTTTTGTATGTTTATAATTAATAGACAAATAAGAGTAATAGTAGCCACCCTTTATTAAGGACTCAGTATATGCTGAGTTACATGCTTTTCGCATATTTTCTCATTTCATCATTACAAAATTCCTAAGAGTGTGAGCCACCTTACTGAGTATCTGGGAGATGTCCAAGTGGGTATCTGAGATGGGATTTCAATCCAGGTGGTCTAATTGCAAAGCCCAAGCTTTGAGCATCACTCTAGGCTGCCTACACTTCTCTGTGCTGACCCAGACAGCTAACAGACATGCCTGGAAACACCAGTTTTAGAACCAACTTTTAATGTAAATGTCAGCCTGACTTACAGTTAGAATATCAATGGCTTCTGTATAGACTGTATAATTATAAGTGCCCAAGGATGCTTGAAAATCGTTTTCCACATGGCCCTAGGTGAGTGTGTGTTGTGGAGCACGGGCACATCTGAAAGAATCCTACCCTAAAAATGCGGGCTCCAGCCCAGCTCGCCATTAACTGCTTCTGGCATTGGGCAGATTACTTCTCTGGGGCTTCAGTTTCCTCACCTGTAAACTGGAGGTGTGGGAGGAGGTGGGGATGGCGGTATGGGAGTGGGGCTCATGTGTTTTCAAGACTCTTTGTGTGAGCACAGGACTCAGTGGCTTCTCATCTGCCCTGTGGTCATTTGTCCCCAGGTCACTCTCATTCACTCGCAAATGGCCCTCGCTGACAAGGAGCTCCTTCCCTGTGTCCGGCAGGAAGCCAAGGAGATCCTGCTCCGGAAAGGCGTGCAGCTGCTGCTGAGTATGTGCAGGTCCTCCCCTGACCTGGCAGTCTCTGGCCCTGGCCGGAGAGTGGCCACGCTCACCCCCGGGCTCTCTGTGTCCTGCAGTTAGGCAGCAAAGCCTGTCTGGCCTTGCCATCCAGCTGGAGGTGTCTGTCCCCGGGCAGGACAGAGGCCCTGGCACGTACGGGATTTCCCTGTCATGGAGGCAGCACTTTCTGGCTGTTGCTCTGGACACAGGACAGGTGGTAGCCATTTGTTGAATGGTTTAAAAAGTCATATAAAAGATTTGACCTGAATTATGGTATCTCTTTGGTAGAGAGAATAGGTATTTTTGTTTGTATTTCGAGGGTGGTGATGAGTGTGGCTTTTGTCCAGAGCAGGAGGGAAGAGAACTATCCAGCATGTTTCGGTGGGGCTCTAGGCCCAGTGGTGTGAACCCCTACTCCCTCCCACTTCACGGGGCTCACCTGCAGGGAGTGTGAGGTGTCTGCTCTGTGTGAGCCCCCCGGCTTCTGGGCTCCACAGGAGCGGCTGTGCAGCACTATGCCCACCTGCATTCCGGGCAGCGAGGACCGTGGGCTGGCTGTCGACTTCCCTTGCTTTTCCCTGTTGGTGGTGGGCCTGGCGGGCTCATCTTGCCTGGCGAGGCTGGTGGAGTGGACATTCAGGGAGGCGTGGTTGAAGTCTTCCTCGAATAGCTTTTCCCAGAACCTCTTGGGAAACTCAGCCGCACTTCCCCAAGTTGCTTCTTGGAACTTTCCTCCCATTGGGTCCTTTGGGGCCAGAAGCTCAGACTGTGCTTCTCGGGGCAGCAGAGCGGACAGGTCTCCAGCCCCCAGGCCAACTCTGGCTTGGGCCCAGCCTTGGTGATGTGCCCACCCTCTGCCAGCCTCCTGGTCACAGGCCTCCCCTGACAGGTGAGCGGGTGAGCAACCTGGAGGAGCTGCCTCTCAATGAGTATCAAGAGTGCATCAAGGTGCAGACGGACAAAGGCACGGAGGTGGCCGCCAACCTGGTGATCGTCTGCAATGGTATCAAGATCAACAGTTCGGCCTACCGCAGCGCGTTTGGTAAGCAGGAGGCCGAGCCGTGGCCCTCTCCCCAGGCTGCCTTCTCACTCTCCAGCCCCTGAGAAGGCCCTGCAGGCTTCTCCCCCAGGAATCAGTGCCCTGCTCTTCCCCCTCCATCCCAGCAGCTCATGTGGTCTCTTCTGAATAGTGACAGTAGACTTTAAATTCAGGTTCTGGTCCACTCCTGCTGGGCTCCCCTCAGCTATGGTGACGTGGCTTAACCCACTGTGGCTAAAGTGACCAAACTCTTCCAAAATCGGGTCCTGCCCCCTTGTGGTGAGAGATGGAAATAGATATCAGAGAGACAAAAAAGATTGGTTTTGTTACTTTCCTTAGAACAGAGATACAGAGGAAATTCCTGGGTCAGGCCTTTGTCTGTTCACAGGTGTGCTGCTCTTCCCAAACCCTGATCCAAACATTTGGCCACTTGAGCTTGGAATGATCATGGGGAGTAGGGCAATAATGTGGCCTCATGTTCTTAAAGCTCAATATTGAACTATTTAGCTGACTTGGGGTGAGGGGAGCTGGGCTGGTAGCTCCACCTGTGACCTGGAGGCCCTGTGGTAGCTGTGTCGACAGGTCCCCATCAGTTACTCCTGAGTATGTTTGCTGGACAAGGAGCTCCTGCTAAGTGTCTGGCAGGAAAGAATTATCCAATCCCAGAAGAAGGAAGCTAGTCCAGACCATGTTTGGGGCTGGGATCAAGGGCTTATAATGTACAGAGATCCCAGAATTTAACACCTAGTTGTCCTAGTGTTATATTTTCAAAGATAAATTCTTTTAAGTCCCTTAAAAAGAAAAGTTTATCATTTATTAAAGCCCTGTATTTATTTTAAAAATCTGATCCACATTCCAAAGGAAATTAAGATTTGACTAAGTTCTAACTTAATCATCGTAAGTGAATCATTGTTAATTGTGGTGACTTATAAAGAGTTATGTGCATTATATGAAACGACACTTGCTGGTCTTTCTGACCAGTTTACACCCTGGAATAGTAAGCTCACCTCTGCAGGAGGAGTTCTGAGGTGGGGACTTCAGGCAGAAATAAACCAGGCGGGAGGCTTGCCTCGTGAAGATGTGCCTTTGGAGGGTGGTTGGACCAGCCCATCTTCCTCACGTTCTGGTGGCCACTTCCCATGGCAGCTTAGATTCTTGGTTTCGGGCTGGTTTTGCCTGGCAGATGACGGTCTGGCCAGTAATGGTGCCCTGAAAGTGAACGAGTATCTCCAGGTGGAGGGCTGCAGCCATGTCTACGCCATCGGTGACTGCGCTGATGTGAAGGAGCCCAAGATGGCCTATCATGCCGGCCTTCATGCCAATGTCGCCGTGGCTAACATCATCAACTCCATGAAGCAGAGGCCTCTCAAAGCCTACAGGCCAGGTCAGGAAGCCCCACACGTGGTACTGTTTTAAGAGTTAGGGTTAGACATGGTGAAGCCTTTGTGGGCTTGACCACTGGAACAAACTCTCAAAGCTGGGGACAGAAACCTCCCTCCCCCCTGGGGCTCTAGATAAAAAAGTCAGGGACATGCCTGCCTTCCTGAAAGCCTCATGCATTTGCTTGTCCTGACACCAAAGGCCCCAGGAAGGGTTTGTGCTGTGGGAGTTGCAGGCCCTCAAACAGTGAGCAGGATTCTAGTTTGTGCTCATCTCTGCTCCGCAGGTGCACTAACGTTCCTCCTGGCCATGGGGAGAAATGACGGTGTGGGCCAGATCAGTGGCTTCTACGTGGGGCGGCTCATGGTGCGGCTGGCCAAGAGCCGGGACCTGTTCATCTCCTCAAGCTGGAAAACCATGCGGCAGTCTCCACCCTGATGTAGAGGCTGGGCGACAGACAGGTACCACTGCTGCCATTGAACGGATTTCTTGACAGATGGTACCCTCTTGACAAATGCCAAAGGGCAAAATCTTTTCCTGGAGTAAGATGCCAGTGATGTACTGACCAGAATCGCAACTTACAGAAAACCAAAAACGGGGGAGGGGGGAGTGAAAGAGAAAGAGAGAGAGAGAGGAGGGAGAGAGACTGTCATTAAAAAGGATATCCCTAAAGGAGTCTGTCTGGGTTTTAAAAGGTTGGCTTGCACTTGTGCTGGCTGAAGGGTTCACTTAGTCCTGAGGAGGGCACAGCCCACCTTCTCCGCCCCAGGCTCCTCTTGAATGTATGTGTATGTGCACGCACTGATGGAGTGTAGCATTCAGAGCTCTAAGCAGGGGAGGGATCTCAGTCTCTTGGTGGCAGGAAAGGTCTCCCTGTCTGTGAGGGCAGGAAGGAGGGTCTGCACAAGGACACCAGCCAAGGAAGGGGACCCGGATGGAGAGGCGGCCTGCATCCCAGTCTCTCCCATCTCATCAGGAGGTGAGGAATTCTGCAACACTCAGGTTGTTAACAGGAGCCTAGTTTTAAACTGCTGGTCCCTACAGTCTTTGAACTTCATGAGACTTTCTGTATTTCCATTTTTAGATCCTGAATATATACCATAGGTTACACTTAAAAAGAGTTAGATACAATTTCCTCCTGGTTATTCCATCCTAACGGAGAGTGAGTTTTTACAAAGCTGACAGGTGAAGACGGAAGCCTGGCCTGCCAGCTGCCAGAGGTGTTTCAGGGAAGGCAGCTGAGTTAGCATGATCGTTGGTGGGTTGCCCTCTGGCTAGTTCAGGGAGCGGGGCGGTGGGGTCCAGCATGCGAATCCATGTGCTTCCCGGCTACGATCACAGGCAAATTTGTAAGTGATAAAACTAGCTGGTGCTGGGGGCGGGGGGCCCCGTGGGAACCTTGGTGGTTCTGTGCTTCTGGTTTTCTGGCCGACCCCAACATCACTTATCTGGAGACCCAGCCATGTGGCAATAATGCCTGCAACCTGTCAAGTTAAGGTATAAAAATGACTCCTCTATCTGGGAGAGGACTTCCAACCAGGACAAGCTTATTCTGGAACACATGGTGATATCTCTATGGCAGAAGTGGTTGACGAATTCATCTGAATAAATTCAGGCCCTACTCCTGCCCACCCTGCCCCTCTCCGTCCACTTTTAATGGTAGCCGCTGGGTCCTTGTCCTTGGGATACCAGCCTCACTAGGGTTCTTGGTCTGTCCTGTCTGGGCGGTGGCCCACGTCTGTTCCATTTTGTTGCCCAGGCCTAAATGAGACTGTGCCTCTCCCCCAAAAGACGGCCACCTCGCGGAGACTTCACCCAGCGCTCCGTTTCTGTGGACTGCGGCCAAGCAGGCTTCCTTTCTGGGAGCTGCTGCCTGAGGAAAGCAAGCCATTCTGTGCTGTCTGACCTGGGGCCCAGCATAGTGGGAGTCTCAGCCCCACAGCGACAGGCCTTGTTCTAGTTATATAACATTCTAGAAGTTTCCACTCATGGGGACACAGTTCTCCAAACTGAGGAAATGTTGCAATAAAAGGATATTTTGTAAGAAAGACACTGGATCTTTTATTTTTTCTTTTCATTTTCTTTTTCTTTAAAAAAAACAACAAAAAAAAGCCTGAAGCAAAACCTTTGTGGGAGTAGTTAACAGATATTACAGGGGGAGGGGTGGGGGCACTGAAACAGGAAAGAAAAGCACCAGTGAGATGCCTTTCTGATTTTCTCCATCACTGAACACAGACAGCCAAAAAGCCCGACTCACTTTTCTGCCCTCTTCCCTTGCAAAAAGGAGAAACAGAAGATTATAAGAATTTCGAAAGGATTTTTGTGTGTGTGTAAAAGTCAATGCTATAAATCTAAAACGAAGTCTGTTTTTTAAAAAATTTCTAAAACAACAGGAAGAAAACACATGGAAAGAAACCCCTCGTGGAGACCTGGTTAATTACGGACTGAGGCTCTTTTTAACGAGAATATAAAATGCAGAGGGCTCTTCCCGTGGGCAGGACCTGCTCCAGCAGCCTCTGCTACCCGCTTCCCTTTCCGCTGCCCTCCGCTCCCCTGCCGTCACCCCTCCTCTCTCCTTTTAAACAATGAAACCCGGCTCCTGCGACTTTGATGCTCCTGATTCCTGTTGGTAAGCGTGGCCCCGCCGGGCGGGTGTGGGGCGGCTACTTGGTGTCGAGTTTGGCCATCTCCTGCACGTAGATGCCGATGCTCTCGCTGTCGAAGAGCAGGAAGTAGACATTCTTCAGCGAGGATGCACTCGAGTCGTCAAAGTGGGCCGAGATGGCTTTGAGGGTCACCTGGGCTGCCGTCTGTTTGGGGAAGCAGTTTCTGCACCAAAGGAAAAGAAGAGCCGGTGTCACTTTGGTCCCCGGGACCCATGGTGTGACTTTGCCCTCAGCCTGGTATAGGGGCAAAGTGGTTCCCTCTTATCTTGGCACCAGGCCTTTGTTCCTATCACTGGTGGTGGGGGTCTTACCATGTGCAGGCTGGCCCACACATGATCCCCTTTGACCCTAGTCAGGGACATCCTGGGAGGGGGCAAGCAGGGGACACTGTCCCCACTTTACTGGTGCCATGCTGGCTCAGAGAGGCACAGTGATTTTAGCCATGGTCATAGTGCTATCTGGGGTGAGCGGTGCCCTGTGCTTGAACCTACTTTGCCTGACTCAAGTCCAGCTGAGCTTTACAACCACCAACTCAGCATTTAAAACACCTGGTCTTCAAGAAGGCAAATACAGGTTTTATTAGCTCCTCAAAACTGGTTTACATGCAAAACAGATAGTTTCTTAAAGGGCAAAAAATGTATGTTCAAAAATACATCTTCCTAATTCCTGATTCATGCACTTCACGTTCCTCTCGCTAACCCTTATGGACATGCCAGTGTAATTTCAGCAGTGATGACTCTGGGCAAGGCCTAAGCCCCAGGATGCAATGATAGAGCTGTCCACCAGGGACACGGCCGTCAAGGTGACACCCCTGGTCATTTGGGATCAGCCACTAAGTGCCCTTGGGCAGGTCCAGGATGGGCCTGCCTGATATGAATTCTCCTTATTGGGCTGTAGTGTCCGGCCCAGAACATCCCTGCATGTGGTCCCAGCTACATAGAGAATTCAGCTGGCAGCGCCTTTGGGTCAGCCTGCGGACCCAGCGCTGGTGGCTCAGGTTGAGACAGGACCACCGCAGGAAGCTAGACCTCATTCCTTCTCTCTTTGCCTTCCCGTAACTCTGCTTCCTGCAACAGAATGTCTTCAGGGTGTAAATCAAACTATGCTACGGAGGGGCCTCTCTCGAGAGGGTGTTCCAAATTAAAGCAATAACTCGCTCTGGCTGTGAGCATGAGGAGAGAGGCCATGCTACATGTGAGGACAGATAGCCTCATTATTTACCTGAAATATTGCTCCTGTGCTCAGTCGGGGTCTGTGGCAATTAGAACAATCATTTCTCCTAACCCCTCAAAGCAATCCCATGCTGAGAGCCTTTCCCTTTTGTGGGTGTTTGTCAGAGCCGCAGTCTCAGGGCTCCTCCAGCTGCAGCCCCGGAAGCCCCTGGGGATTCTGAGGCAGCAGGTCTGGGCTGGGGTCTGAGACTTGTGTCCTAACCTGGTGGGCTCACTGCTGCTTGTCTGTGGACCACACTTTGAGGAGCAAGCGCCTTGAAGCCTGGTGTTTCTGATCCTGTGTTCTAGACAGGGACAGGGAACGTAGGCTTTCAATATGGCAGGCTTTCAAAAGAGGACTTTACCTCCCTCTCCTCCCGGAAGCTGCCTTTCTCCAGGTGTTTGAAAGGATGGAAACTGGCTTTCTTGCTCTATCACCTGGTCAATGTGCCTGGGTATGCTGGCAGCCCTTGGGCACATCCTCTGGGATGGCCAGACTGGATTGACCAAGTCAGGGAGCAGCTGGTCCCCAGGGAGAAGGCTGGACAATCGGACCCAGTACCCCTGCCACCTGCCTGGGGAGCGCATCTTACCTGCCGCTGGGGAAGGGCGGGAACGCCACTGACTTCAGCTTCTTGTCCTCTGCTGCTGACAGGCAGTTTTTGATGGTCTCTTCAAGCTGTTCTTCACATTTGTCGGAACCCCACTGAGGGATGTGACAGTGGATGACAAATTTGGCTGCAAGTCCGCTGGACTGGCTGACGGCAGCTGGGACAGGGGAGAGTAATGCCACAGGTTATTCCCTGCATCTTCACCTTAGCCAGGGGGTTAGGCCGAATCTCCTGTGTCCCTCTTAGAGGCGTGGGGGACGGGGGCAATAGAGAACTTGGCTGGACAATCTTCGGGGCTTCTAATGAGGAACACACATTTACCGGAGAGTAGGAGCCACGCCAGAATTAATTTGACAGCAGGCACAAGCTTTGGATAAATGCGTTTAAAGCTGATGTGACAGTATGTCACACTTTCACATGGTCTGCCTTCTAGGCTATTCCTAATCAAAGGTTCACATTGGAACCATCTCTGGTGGCTTGGGAGACCAAGGATTGGCCTCCCCCAGATGTCCTGGAACCTGTGAATGTTACCTTACGTGGCAAAAGGGACTTTGCTGATGTGATTAAGTGAAGGATTGTGAGATTGGAGAGGTTATCCTGGACTATCCACATGAGCCCTAAATGCAATCACATGGGTCCTAATAAGATGGAGGCAGGGAGGGCAAAGGTAGGAAGAGGAGCTGTGACGATGGAGCAGAGGTTGGAGTGATGCATCCAGGAGCCAAGGAATGTGGCGGCCTAGACGCTGGAACAGGTAAGGAAGTTCTTCTCTGAGAAGCAACCAGCCCTGCCAGCACCTCGATTTTAGTTTAAGATTCACTGAGGACTTCTGACCTCCAGAACGCTAAGTGAATACATTTGTGGTGTTTGAGGCCACTAAGTTAGTGCTAATTTGTTGTAACAGCAATTGGAAATGAATACAGCAGCTTCTAAAAAATGGACCAGCCCTCCCCTGTCACCCACACTGAGATCCTGACTTGGCAGGTCTGATGCAGGACTTGTGCCTGGTGATTTTAGGACCTTCTGTAGATTGAGAACTGCTGCACTTGGTTGTGCACTCCTCAGTCAGGGATTGTCTTTTGATCATCTCTACATACCCGAGGAGCCTGACAGGAGTAGGTGTTCAAAATGGGTTGTGAAATTGGATTATGCCCACCTTGTCTCATAAGTTCAGTTCATATTCCTTGCTTTTATTTTTTATTCCCCCAAACCTATTTCCCATCAGCGACAGAGCTGATAATGAGGAGCTCTAGGTAAGTCCCTGTGGCTGTCGATCCCTGCAGGAGAGGTTTGGTCTGATCCACTGGCCACTCTCCAGTCCCTTGGGGCCACTTTGGCTGCAGCCCTGTGCTGCTGGCCCCTAAGCCACCTACATAGTGGAGCTGGGGCTCTGTGCCACTCAAGGAGCCGAGTGTAGCAAAGGTCCCCAGGTGCCCAGCAAAATCATCATTCACTCCCAAAGCCTGAGTCTCCATCTCTGCCACCGGCACCACCCGTCAGTGTCCCCTGACTCTCCCATTCCAGGCCCGTCTGCTTCACTTCCATCGCCACCTCCCACCCCTGTCTCATCCAGTGTCCCGGCTGGAATCAGGATGCATCTTACAATCACTGTGGGCCTGGATTGAGCTGAGTCCTTCCAGAGAGAAGTTGCATTTGCTTCTATGTCAACTGGGGACCCTACCAGACCCAGGTCACATCCCATTAACTTCCCTGCCTGGTTTTTGGGCCTCACTGGATTTGGCTGCAAATCCACAGGAGTACCAGCTTGTGGTTCAAATTTCTCCCACCAAGTCCGCCCAATGCCAAGGTCAAGGGATAGACCTGCTGCCCTTTCTGCACGGTGTGTTCATGTCTTGCTCTCTCTTAAACTGAACATGTCCTAGTTTTATGTGGGGTCTCCTATTAGACACCCCACCTTGGAAATTGATTCTTTCTTACAAGCAGGGAATCTCTTACAACCGATGGTGTTTTGGAACTAAATGAAATGTAATGTTAGACCCTGATGGACCGTCTCCCCTCTTCCAGATTCACCCTCACCAATCCCTTCTTCCCAGGGAGCTGCTGCTGACTGGCCCTGAATACTTAGCCCTAACAGATGGTGCCTCAATTTCTTAGCTCATACTTGTTTTCTGCAGCCCTCTCCTTCCTTCTAGATTTACTTCCATTTCTCCCAGTGAGGCCTCTGTAGTCCTTTCAGCAAGGGTCTGTGGACTTCTGACTCAACTTCTGTCTCTCTGAAATCCTACATCTTTCACCCTCCGTCTTGAACAATAACAAAGTAAAATGTGTACTTCTTGGTTAGTTTTCCCCTTAGTGCTTTGAAGATACTTCTTTTCCATCTCCAAGCATCCTTTGCTGCTGCTGAGAAGTCCACTGTCAGAAGAACCATCTTTGCAAAAGCTCTGCCTTTCCTTAGGTGGCTTCTCAGGTTTCCCTTGATTTTTGAACTTTGGAAATGTCACTACGATAGGCCAGTATTTATTCTGATTTAATATCTCAATGTTTTTTCAACCTGAGGACTCTGGGTTTCATTCTGGAAAATTCTCAGCCATGATCTTTTTCTCAGTTGAGGTATAGCTGATTTACAACATTAGTTTCAGGTATGCAGCATAGTGATTCCACATTTTTATAGATTACACTCCATTTAAATTTATCATAAAAAATTCGCTCTATTGGCTCTGTTCCCCAGGCTATACAATATATCCTTGTGGCTTATTTCCCTTATACACGGTAGTTTGGACCTCTTAATCATTTTACGTACTGCCTCTCTACCTTCTACTTTCTGTCTCTGGAACTGTGTTGGAGGCACTTTTTCTACATAGAGAGGCTATTTTTCTTCCCTCCCACCCTGTCAGGAAGTTTGCTGGGTGCCTCCCCACTTTCCCCCAGGTAGGATCCAGTCTTATATGGACAATCCAGAGCGCCGTCTCATGGTCATAGAGGGGAGGTGGTAGATCCAGACACTCAGCCAGTAGACATTGCGACTGCGGGCCTGGGCAAGCCTTTTGCTGCTCTAGACAACAGATTTCACACGAGCCGTAGCCCTGGGTGGTGGTCAGAGCTTTGGCTCCCGGTAAGGGCAGTGGGAGTTTTATCCAGCCCTTGCTCTGAGCAATGAGCCTGGCTCTGGTCCCCTCCAAGCATGAGGTGACTCTGGTCCCATAACCAGGTAAGAGCTGACCTCCTGATGGCTCTACGTATCACCGGACCCAGAGCCCAGCCTGCAGCTTTGACGGCCGCCCTGGCTGCTGCCACCTGCAGCTCTTCTATCTCTGTGCACGTGTGTGTTTCTCTTCTATTTCAGTGCTGTTCTTAGAATTTTTTTTTAATTTTAATTTTTTATTTTTTGTAGTTCATAGAATCCATTTAAAAAAAGAAAATTGACCTATCATTGCTATGTGTGTGAGGGGTGGTACGTGCAGGCTGCAGTGTGGACTCCTGTTCTTTCTCGACCGGAAGCCCCACTACTTTTCTTGCCATCAAATCTGATCATGACAGCCCCCAGCTTCAACTTTCAAAGGCACCCTTCTCATCTATATGGGGTAAATCCAGACCCTTAGCACAGCCCGAGGTCCACGCTCATCTCCGGCTGCTATTTCTTTCCTCTCCTGCTGGCCCTTGACCGAGCCCTCTCATACATGGTGCCCTCACTGCCCACAATGTCCCTGCACCCAGGTGGGTCTCACATCCTCCCTGGAGTCTACCCAGCTCCTCCAAGCAGAGGGCGTGGCTCCTCTGTGCCCCACTTCTCTGTCTGTCTCTCCTCCTAGACTGTCCAGTGCTTGAGGGAAGGAATGGGTTTTATTTGTCTTTGGAGCCCCAGCACCAGGGCAGCACTTGGCACTGACTAGATGGTCACTGGAGGTGGTGTGGTGGGGACACAAGGCTGAAATTAGACCCATTTGCCAAGAAGTTAGCCAATATCCTTGAAAACAAGCATTCAAACAAAACCCTGTACACAGATGTCCAGAGCAACTATTCACAATAGCCAGAGGTGGAAACAACCCAAGTGATGAATGGATAAGCAAATGGAATAGTGTCCAGCCATAAGAATGAAGACCTGAGCCATGCTACCACAGGATGAACCTCGAAACCTTTTAAGTGAAAGAAGCCAGACACAAAGATCACATATTATACAATTCCATTTTTATGAAATATCCAGAAGAGGCAAAGCCACAGAAAGAGAAGGCAGACTGGTGGTTGCCAGGGGTTGGGGGAGGGACGTGACTACTTAACGGGCATGGGGTTTCCACTAAAGGTGATAAAACGTCCTAGAACCGGATAGCGGTGATGGCAGAACAGCACGGAGTGCACTTCATGCCAGTGAACTGGGCCCGTTTAAACTGGACATGGGTAAGTTTTGTTATGTGTATTTTAGCACACACACACTAAGTCACCCAGTTGCTCTAGACCATTTTTGGGTGAGCTGATACAAATTGGCTTGAACTATCCAGACACTTTATAGTCCCCCAAATGTATGAAATGATCTACACGGCCTGCTCAGATCATCTGAGAGATGCTAAAGTAGCTTTCAGATTGTTACGGCCTATTTTGCTTTGCAAACTGAATATGCATGAAGCACGTCCCGCTGGAGGGGACCTCGGTGAGGCTGTGCTCGGGACACGGGCCCAATTCCACACTCACCTTCAGCAACTTCCAAAGGGCCCTGGGACTTGCGAAGCTCCTTTACCGTTTCCAAGAACTCCTTCCCCCCAGCTTTTTCCAAGGCCTTACCTGTGAAGGAGAAAAAAGGAAAACCATTCTGGTCGCTCTTTTCAAAGTCATTAATTACATACACTCTGACATATTTTTACTAGGTCTTAAAAAAATGCTTAGAAAGTAGGAGTAAAACTTTGCAATTGAAATCCTGGTTGCCAGTGGTTACTGGTGGCAGGGGTCCCTGGGCTTCTGTCCAGCAGGACTTAGATTCTAGCAAATTCTTTTTTTTTAAATTATTTAATATTCCTTCTAATGTACCATAGGAATTACTTCCCCAAAATGTTAATCACAGCTGGATTGAAAGAGTATTTGAGAAATGTGGCAACGTCATTTACGTAAGTATATCACACTGTAAGTCTGCTGGAGAGCCAAAGGGATTTGCCTTCGTGGAATTTGAAACAAAAGAACAAGCACCAAAAGCTACTGAGGCAGGACAAGAACTTTTAGTCAGAACGGAGTGGGGAGGGGGGAAGGAACAGAAGTAGCTCTGAAGATGCAGAATGCCTGACTCCCAAATCACAAGTTTTAAAAATTTCTCAGAAAGACATCATTAGAAAAGAAGCTTCAGAAGTTTGCAAATAAATAAGTAAATACTTAAAAAAAGAAAGAAAAAAAGAAAAGAAAAAGAAAACCCCCAAACAAACAAACAAAACAAAGGTATTTATAAATTTAAGGTTAGGATTAGGTAAATAAGGTTTTCTTTTTTCTGAACTTATGTCTTTATTTCTTAACTTGATATTTAATTTACAGTTAGAGGTCTCTACTGAAGAAGAAAATGATACTGGAGATAGAAAAGATGGATCCCTCTTGAAAGCAAAAAGGAAGCATAAGAAAAAACATAAAGAGAGGCATAAAGTGGGAGAAGAGGTTCTACCACTGCGAGTACAATCAGAGTAAGTGAATGGTACAAATTATATTGTTGGCAATTGACACACTTCATAGCAAACTCTTTAAAGGACCTTTTTAGGGGGTGATTTGGCCATAAAGCAGTCTCATGACATGAACCCTAAAGGTGATCTTTTAAAAAAAGTGAGGTTCTAGTGTTCTGAGCTCTGTGCTCAGTGTCATGGTGTGGCTGGTTGAATTCAGGGTCTTGCTTGATGGCAGCACCCCCCACCCCCGTCATGGGGCATCTCACAAACCCTGCAGACTGCCTTTTGTCACCAGGTCCTAAGCCTGGACCCAGAGTCACGCTTGGGGAGGGTGCAGCCACAACGGGGGGCCTGGCCCCAGCTGACAGATGGCCTGGCAGGAACCTCTGGGTGGAGAGCTCTGGGATCCTGTTCCCATCTCACCACCATTTATGTGTTGTAAGTCCCTGGGGCCGAAGGACAGACATAGGCCCAGGGCAGCCTGGAATGTTGTGCCCCCAATTTGGCCCTCAGTTTTCAAAGGAAAATGCAGAGCTTTGAGGGGTTAATCACTAAAGACCTTTCTGCTGGGTAGCTGAAGCTGGTAGCCAAGTTCACGCTGAGAAGCAGAAGAATTAGGCCCAGGCTGCTGTGCTCCACTTTCGGGTCAGGGGCCAGGTGAGATCACACAAAAGGCAAGGTGAGTCCACGCTCTTCCCTGAAGACATTGGAATACTGTCTTTCCCTCTGTGGAAGCACTCCAGTGAAATGAAGAAGGAATGCTAGGATTAGAATATCTCCCCTTTGCAATCCCTAACGAGTGGACAAAGCTAGGGAAGGGGCATCAGAGAGAACAGGGCACTATGTGCCTCCTGATGGAAGAAAGCTCCATCACTGACCAAGCAGTCATGCGAAAAAGTTTTGAACCTGAATCTAGTTCAGCCTCTGGATCCAACTGCCAACTTATAAGAAACTTAGACAACACCAGGAGGATGGAATTCACAGAATCCAGACTGTGGGAAACCCCACAGGACAAATGGCCCAGCTTCCTCAACAAATAGATTGCTAAGAAAAAAAAGAGAAAGATGAAGGGGGAACCTATGACTTCTAGGAACTTAGCCAATTGTAATGTGTGGACTTATTGGAGCCTGAATCAAACACATTTTTTTTAAAAAACTGACATTTATAATGCAACTGGAATTTCAACAATGGATATTTGATGATATTAAGTTAATTATTTTTAGTTGTGATAATGGTATTGT